TTTATGCCGGTATCACCTGTAGGGAGGAGGGGGGGAGGAGGGAGGAGGACCGTTAGCTCACCGTCGTCTGGTACTGATTTATCGGTCCGGACAGATCGTCAACATTACTAAAGCACATGTCTTAGAGTAGCTATGGAGGAGAATATTGCAGAATGATCTCTGAAGCGAATGCATGAGTATTTTTTAAAAAGGCAATACTATACAGCTGCTTGAGCCTCCATTTGTGGACCTACCGAAAGTCCTTACAGAGCCATTTGTTATTACAGTACAAGTTTTTATTACAGTACAACTAATATTAGTATAGTACAACTGTTATTGTAGTACAACTGTTATTATAGTACAATTGTTATTACAATACAATTGTTATTACATAACTATTATTATTACAGAGTAATTTTTATTACATAACTATTTTTAAAAGGCAATGCTATACACCTGCTGCTTGAGCCACCATTTGTGGACCTTCCGAAAGTCCTTACAGAACTATAGTTATTACAGAACTATTGTTATTATAGTACAACTGTTGTTACAGAACTATTGTTATTATAGTACAACTGTTGTTACAAAACTATTGTTATTATAGTACAGCTGTTATCACAGTACAAGCAAGCATCATTCGTGTCAGACTCTACTCTTGAATCTGCCAAATTAGGTCTTTTAAAAAGGGAGTTTCATTCTTATTCTTAAACAGATTTCTCACAATTCTGTGAAGAGTTTTTTATACTAATAGTAGGCCTAGTATCAATAATAGTAACCGTTGTGGAAAATAACACTTTGAGACTACTACTCCCCAAGAAAAAACGTTAAAAAAAATAATAAAACAGAAGAAAAAAAAGCAGCTTTTTACCTCGATTTGCAGACACTGAATATTTTTTAAAAACAAAATGTAAAACGTAGTTGTAGCTTTTACAAGGGGCAAAAACAGTATTGCATAAAATTATCAAATAGGATATTATATTCTTTTTAAAAATGTGGGGTTTAAATGAGATTTCCCAAAAGCTTTTAGTTGAAAAGACGACAACGTCCAAATGCATTATTCTATTTCGCAACATTTCATTTTTATCTTACATGAAATTCAATTTATTGTCTGTCCATTTGCGTTGTCAGGCGAGACAAGAGAGGATTAGGAATGGATTAGGTTCCTTAATTATCATTAGCGACATGCTTGTAACTAAGTTATCTGATTCCTTTTTGGGATGCGCTTTTTCACTGTCGCAAACCTTTGTCCCCCATGCAGTGACGCTAGAATGCTTTGGCGCATTGTTAGCTCAGTTGGTGATATGCTTGACAACTGCTTTGCAGGTGATATAGGTTCGAATCTACATCAGATATGTTTTGATTATAATGATTACGTAGTCGTCAGCCAGTTTGTACCATTGGTCTGTTCGTGCTGTCTGAAAAAAATGAGCTAAATGTCAATCCTGCTCATACACATCCCCTCCCACACACACACACACACTCCGTAAATACACATACACACACGCACGCACACACACACACACACACACACACACA